AAAAATATACTGCGCACTATACTGATTTTCTCGAAAGGGGGCCGAAGGGGTTACCTGTTTTAATTACTCCCACCACTATACAGTAGTGTGTTGTCTGTCAGTCAGTCAGTAGAAACTAAATTGACATCACATAAGGGACGCTTAACGTTGCAATTTGTACTGTTGTGACGTCAGTAAAACGAGAAGAATTATGACATACCTTCTAAAGCAAGAAATAATAATGTTTATTACTCTTAATTTGGTTTTATTTGCTCTTGAAACAGAACGCGTTCGATGACACTGCGGAAGTACATCTAGTATTAATATTTCAGAGTTTATTGGTATCAATTCAAAAAAGGTAATTTTCTTTCTATTAATAATCTGGTTTGTAAATTCTAGTGAAATTGTCCGATGTGCGACACTGGTCGTGCAGGTTACAGTTTCACATATCACACGTTATTGGACTGTGGTCACAGTTTATTAAGTGAAATCCCAAAAGCAAGTATAAATACATGCAATATATTATTAAATATAAAAAGTATCTGTTCTGAATATGAAATATTTTGATATTCTCATATGTTGATTTCACAAACTGTTGATGAGTACTTAACTTCCATTGTACGTGTTACAATAACTGTGACTCAAAATTTTAGAAAATACATAAATATTTTACCTAGTGGTTAGAGCGCTCGACTTGTAATCTGCGGGTTCGAATCCACGTCACTGAGCATTCTCGCCCTATCAGTCGTTGGGACATTATTTTGTGGCAGTGAATCCCACTATGTATTGGTAAAGAGTAGTTCAGGTGGGTGATGTTGACTAGCTGTTTTTCTTGTAGTCTATAGCAGGTAAATTAGGAAGGACTAGCCAGGATGATAGTCCTCTAGTACCATTGCGCGAAATTCAAACAAAACTATAAATATTCTTTTCATAACGTATTTGGAAATGCCACATTGTTTTACAGTGAGTTTAATGTTATTCCAACACATTTGACAAAACCTCTGCCACAAAAGGAACTGCTCCCGCAATTTCTGTTTTGGGAAGTGATGTCAACAAGAAGAGTACTTCAAGGGAAATTACGTAACTAGTATAAATTAGTGTCACGAGAAGACTTAGAAAACATCCCTTGAGCCACCTTGTGGGGAAATTCTTATTTTTAATCCTTGCAATGACACACAACACAAATAAGTTAGTTGGTAGTTATACTTCTCAGCAATACAGTAACTGGGCTGACTACAATATATATATATATATATATACATGTAATATTTTTTCTGTATTAATACAATCTTAAAAGTACAAAGTTAAAAGCTTCTCAAATGTTTTATGTAACACAATCTGAAATATGTTTTTGTGATAATTTGGATAATAATTTCCTTGATTATTAAGTACATGTTACAAATAAATGAATTAGAAAAAACATTAAAATATGAGAAAATATTTATCTAAAATTGAAACTTCCAGTGATAGGATGGCCGGACTGACATCCTAAAGTTCATAATTCATGCCCCCCAGAAGCACAGCGCTATGCCTGCGGACTTGCAACGTTATAAACCGGGTTTTGATACCCGTGATGGGCTGAGCACAGATAGTCCGTTGTGTAGCTCTGTACTTAATTTCAAACAAACCTAAAAATCAAAGTTCTTTCCTTATTACCGTTAACACTCCGCACTTTTATGCCGTAGGTGTTTTGTAAGAGTTATAGTCAAACCTCACTATCCGATTAAACAAGAGTAGCCCAAGAATTGGTGGGTGATGGGTATAACTGACTTCCTTTTTGTCTGTTGGTTGAAAATTAGGGACGGCTAATGTCGATAGTCCTTCTGTAGCTTTGCCGGAATATATTTTTGAGAAAAAAGGTAGTACTGCTAAATTGAGAAAGAAAAAAAGGTTTTAAAAAACTAGATATGTTTAAAGAGTAATTACATTAAAAGTGTTTTTAGAAAAAGCACCTGAGATCGTGGTGAAGGCTACTGTGATTAGGAACATGCTATTTTAATCAGACAAATTAACAGAAGATCTTAAACAATAAATTAATCTACAGATAATACAGTTTGCTGGTATCAAGAAAAGCGAAGTGCTCAGAAGCATAGCAATAAACGACTATAATCATTAACATTTCTATATGTGATAGATTTTAGATTTATAAAGAAATTTTATAGGTGGTTTGTCTATAGATTCCATCTGGCCAATAAACCATAAGAATATGGCCTTTTTTATCATTGAAACAAGAGGTAATTTGAAAGGATTTATATCTGTGCGAATACAATTAAGTGTTGAGGCGTATTGATCCTTCGTTTTCAACCACTGTGTCTCTGAAACTTTAGTTTGAGAGAAAACGTTTACTCTTTAAAAAACAAAACAAAAAAAACGTATGTCATGTTGAAAGAAAAAGAAAAAAATGGTAAGGGGGAGGGCAATGTGGTACTACGTCTAATTATGTTTCATCGCAGTTGTGGGCGGTAGACAATTCAAGCTCTCAAAAAAATGATTCGTTATTTGACGACCTGGTTCCATGTAGCTCACGGCAACATGGGAACCGGCTCATCTCGGGGCTTTTTTTCGTTAGTATAAAAACCAAGAACCATACCCAGCTGAATTAGTAATTTCCCATAGCAAAAAAAGCTAGAGAAATTAGGTAGGTTGCTGGCTGGTCACCTGGCGTTTGTGATCTTCGTTTGAAGCAAAGAACTCTCTCAGTGAAGGGATTCTTAATATTTACGGATATTATGTTTGTTTCGAAAGTTATACGGTGTGGAGTTAACATGTTCTTTAGAAATTATATATATATATATATGTGTCTGTATATTTTTTGTCTGTAAGTGTTAATTAGTTGTTACAACCTGAACAGCTGCAATAATAGTAATTTTGTTGTGTATTCGGTTTGTTTTCGATAGAAAAAACTACAATAATGAACATGTAACATTTCTCTGAATGTGTTTACTTAAACCGAAAGGCCTTTACTTTCCTTTGCAGGTTGATTTCCAGTGCATCATATTATTAACGGACTTACAATAACAATTACGATGAAGTACGTTTTACTTGTGGGTAAGCTATATTCTTATCTTTTTTTATCTTATATTATTAATATATATATATAAACCTTTTCGATGCATGAAGGTAGTAACGAAAGTATCTTGCAATACACACATAAAAAAACCTAAGGAGTGAAAAATATATAACAATATACAGCAATATCGTTCACACAGTATAACAATTTTCATAGATCAAATACTCTTCTATCACTTCCGTACAAAATAACTCACAACTTTAACTGTAGAAAGTATTTTTCATTCGATATTATTTTATTATAATTACTTATACTTTTTTTTTACAGTTTCCATGCTATTGGCAATCGGTCTTTCCTTTCCACGGGTAAGTTATCTAAAAAACTCAAAACTTCAAGTTAGTTCGTCGAATGACTTAACTTTGTTGTTGAAAATAAATAACGAATAACCAAGATATATATATTAGGTGGCTAGACAAGTTTTGTTTCAAAAACGTATGCAGGGAGCGGTTTTTAATTTTTTTGCTGTTTAGACTATGCTGTCCCCACGGGTATCGAAACCCCGTTTTTAGCATTATAGGTCTTCAGACTTACCGCTGAGCTACTGGAGGCCGTTTTTTTATTTTTTTATTTTAAAACTTGACAGGTCTTTAGTTTGAAAGAAGAGGTCACAGATACAGAGACCTGCAAGCTCTTCCCAACACACGTGCTTAGGAACATTAGTTCCCCTAGTGGAATGGGTTATTACATCAGTGAAGATTGAAATGAATTAGCTTGTTTTATTCAAGATTAGTGTTTCTGAAAGCCGTGAAAAATGACGTTCGGTTGTAGATTTTCACATCTTCTGCAGTCATCTGCTGTAGCAGGGGGAAAATTGGATTTCATAAAACTAATACATAAGCGTTTTGAAGTTCGATGACGAGGAATCCACTTTGAGACTAATAATGCTTGGAGACGGCTTTAATGGGTAATGAAGAAAACTTTAATATATAAGTTTTTCTTCATTACCCATTCAAGCCGTCTCCAAGCATTATATAAGAGTTTTATTCGCTTATACGTCAGATGGCACATTTAGCTGTACTGTAGTTAAACTGATGTGAACAATGCCAGTTATGTCACAATAATGTAGTAAAGGGCAAATGTTTTTGAAATCCAAGTCAGGAAAAACAAACAAACAGTCTCACACTGAGAACCTAATATATATTTTTTGCTTGACCTGATACTTCCATGAAGTGTATTGCATGATGAGTTTGTTGTTATTGTGGAAATGTTAATATTGTACAGTATTACCAGTAAAATATACAAGTAACTGTTAACTTTAGCATCTCCTTGTCAGTCTCCGAGTGTGGTTTTTAAGGAACAAAGTTCCAGTAAAGCTTCAAAGATATTCAGGTTTCTGTTAGTTTTATTTAAGGAAATATGTTGATTTAAATGTAACACATAGAATGTAATTCGGTGCGAGATTCGTGTCCTTGCTTGGAATTTATATACTTTAGAAATTTTAACTTTTATTTCTCTTTTCATATTATAATTTGAAAAATCAGTTTGTTTATGTTTCTTAACAAGTTTAAAGAGATACCTTCGCTGAAAAATATTTTACTATTTTAGCGCATGGTGGGCCAGTTTTATCAACAGCCTTATCAGAAAGTAGCGCATATTTATTTAATATGTTGGTTAAATAGACGCAAAAACCAGATATACGAATACTAAACTGGGTTTATTTTAATACGTAGAAAAAAACAAGTGTAGATAACATCTACTTTAACTCTCTCCCAACTATGAATGTGAACATATAATTTTGACTTGACAAATCCACTTAAGAGTTTTTAAACGAATCATTACTGATTTTATTACCACTGGAAACTGAAGATCTCTTTTTCTACATCTGACAGGCAAAACGGGCTGCTTATGATCTTCCAGATGGGGCGCAGATTATAGTGGGCCCGATAAAAACAACTTTCTCCTGCGATGGATACAGATATGGATATTATGCTGATGTGGACAACGACTGCAAGATCTTCCACATCTGTCATCCCCAGATATTGGCTAATGGAGAGCAAATCGTTTCTCATTGGAGCTTCTACTGTGGCAACCAGACCTATTTCGACCAACTTACTCTCACTTGTGGTCATTATGAATCGATCGTACCTTGTCCCGATGCTGGTTCCTTTTACTACGTCAATGACAAGATAGGAATTGAGGACGCATTATTCTTGACTGATGACGATGTACAGAGAGCGAATGAAGTAATTGGATTTGGCTCTCGTGTACAGAAAAAATAAAACTTGGGAAGCTTATAAGATAACGATCCATGGACCGGGCTATGAATATTTTATTTTAATATGCTACAAAGCTACAAAAAATTTCGTGTTTCATGTATAGCTTATAGAGGAATTAAATGTAGGCATAGTTTACTCTGTGTTTTTCTTTCTTAGATAAGTATTACTTCTGTAGGAATAAACCAAATAAATCTTTTATATATGACTTGGGAGCCAATTTATAATTTCTAATAACAATATTTTTAAGCATCGTGTTGTCATCTAAGTAGCTGTCATTTCATAAAAATGGTTACAGTGCTATTATGCTCATCCATTTCAGATCGAAAATGGTGAACATAATCACAATTTTTTTTGTGAACGTTCTCGTGTATTCTGTTTTCGCAGTTGAATTTTGTATATATATGTATCGCATACTTATGTTTATTATATTAAATCACGCAACTTCAAATAGAAACTCCACATTTCCGTAGTTTTACTTTTCTTCTTAAACACCTTTTTAAAAGTACAAGTTTACATGAAAAAAATCTCACAACATCAATCTCTACAACTATACTTAAAATAGATCCAGATCACTAAAAGGTTCTCTATACAACGAGATTCTATTTGTCTTAATATCAAACAACAACATTAAGTATGTTTGTCAAACTAAAATGGTCACAGGAGAACATTCCAGCAACCTCAAGTAACGTGTAACACTTATTAAACAATGGAATCTCAAGTTACGTATAACACCTATTAAACAATGCAATCTCAAGTAATATGTAACACTTATTAAGCAATGCAACCTCAAGTAATATGTAACCCCTATTAAACAATGCAACCTCAAGTAACGTGTAACACCTAATAAACAATGCTGAAATACATATGGTTGAGATGTAATCACAAAATTAGACAATGATACAAGAGGAATCTCATAAATTTCTTTTTATTCTTAGCTATGGAATAAAAACTATAATAAAGAACGAAAGTCAAGTGTATAAAATATTTTATGAAAGTTTATGCTCCACGAGAAAAAATAATTAATTTTTGGACTCGCGTTTTATCAACTCTCTCTGTAAACGCCTCCCAGTGGCTCAGCGGTAAGTCTGGGCTTATAACGATAAAAATCGGGTTTGGATATCCGTGGTGGGCAGAGCACGGATATCCCATTGTGTAGCTTTGTGCTTAACAATGAACTAACAGACAAACTCTCTGTAAATATTTCATAAATGTTAAACCTCACGTAATATTGTTCTATACAACAATTGGGAGTTATAAGCCAAATAAACAACTCAGGTTAACAAGCCTCAAGTTAAATAAAGTGTAACTTTCTAGTTCTATCTGTTTGCTTTTGGGTAATTGTAATATCAGCTGTTATATAATATAAAAAAATCTTTAAAAAGACATTTTATGAACTAGTAAATTCCTTGACGTGTACAAAATCGCATATTTTCTTGCCAGGCTCCTTGTGGAGAATTTTTAAATTTAATGCACGTTTGTTCTGAGCATGTTAAATTTGTAACATACTTTAGATATTACTTTCAAAAATTAAGGAAGAGATTATATTTTGTCCTAATTCTACTGTCCCCCAGCGGCACAGCGGTACGTCCGCGTACTTACAATGCTAGAAACCGGGTTTCGATACCCGTAGTTGGCAGAGCACAGATAGCCCATTGTGCAGCTTTGTGCTTAACTATAAACAAATCTAATTCTACTGTAATTTATGAAAAAGAATTTCTTTAAAGTTTTTATACAAAGCCTATATTTCTAGGATTTATTGATCATTTACGTTTTATTTTTTACTTTTCTATTGGTCTCTGGTCCTTCTTCTTCTATTCTTGTAATCACAGTTTTCAACTTCCTGGTCATGTGATTTGCCGGACCTTCTGTTCAGCAGCTTTCGTGATACAGAGACTTTTGCAGCTGTTATTTTACACTTCCGTCCAAATTTTTATCTGTTCCTTATGAAGGGGAGCCTCTCTCTTTCATGAAAGTTAGTGCCTTTTATTGTTACTGCAGCGCTCCATTGATAGCAACAGCGGTTTTTCGCAACTCTGAATCTCACACGTAAGTTTATTTCATTTTTTAAAGATATTCTCCTCCCTTCGTTGATGCTTATAATTAATCCAAACAATGAGTAAAAAATTTTCAACAATAAGTTATTCCATTGTTAAAAGCTATATTTTTGATGGTTGAATATAATTATATGCTTTAGGGAGCTGTTAAAGTGATTACAACTCCACATTTCAAACGTTTATAAAAGCAGTCCTAAAAGACATAATATGTTCGTCAGTGTTAATGGTCCAAATATTTTACAAAGTATCTAGAAACATGGAATCGTTATAAAAACGAGAATCAATGAAATATTTAGTCAGTTTTCACGTTTTAGTTCCTTCGGTGATTGATAAATTAGAGAAATATTCAGATCATTGTATATTCAGTTACTCCATCGATTAGCCGTGAAACCACAAATAAGTTTATTTGGGCGTTACTAGTAGTACTATTAGTGAGTAAATGTTTGTTGAAAGTGGGAAACATTATTTGCCAATGTATATGTATAACTATGTACAAGTGATAATATCCTGTAGTAAATGTTAAGTGGACTGGATTTTGCATCATTTTCACCAATAATTTAAAAGGAACGCCTAATGAAAGAGCAAATGACAAAATTGATGTCAAAAGTGGGATTATTTTGGTGAAAAGAGAAATTAAAATAGGACTTTGGTGCACTTTAATTAAACACGACAACCAGATTCGGAAATGTGGTTGAATCACTATTAGAAAGATGAAACACATAAGATCAAGAGAAGGAGAAAGAAAATTAAAAAAATGAAACTGAATTTTAAGAGAAGAGTTAAAAGAAAGAGACGCATTATTTAAAGAATTAGAATCAAAAATAAATTTTGTTGAAGACTAGATCAATCAAACTATTGAAAATGTGTAGAGAAATAACAACAACAATGTTGAAGAAGTACAGAAATGTTGTAATCACAAAATTGAAGAAGTACAAAAAAGATCACTGAGGTAGAAAATAACATCTTTGAAGTAGAAAATAATATTGTGACAAAATAAACATCTGGAAAACAAAGCGGTAAAGGCAAAGATCAAAACAGTCACACCTCTTTCTGTATCTGCCCAAAAATTCCAACACAAAACATAATTTACTACAGAACATGGAACATGAGAGCCTATTTTATACACATCTGTTGCCACTACTGCTGTTCCATCTGTGATTACAGGACCTTTCTAGACTACTCCAGCTATGACACTACCAAACTGAGTTCCCAAAATTAGCTGGGCAGTTCAACAACATTGGCTGATTGAGAAACCAACATCCTATGATAGAAAAGTGTAATGGGAGGTATATCAATTCGAAATTATTGCAGGGTGAATGGATGAAATAATGAACAACAAGCTATTCATATTTTTGCCCATTTAGAAGGGAACTGCTAACATGATGATGATGCTAGATTTAGAAAGTTTATAAAAGTAGTCTTAAAATACTTAGAATGTTCGTGAATGTTAGCGATCCCAAGATTTTACAAAATAACGTTGATGAAGATATAAACCAATCTACGTATCGTTACGTGGACGGGTCTTTGGATTATTTTGACCAAATAACTTAAAAGAACCCGCCCAATGAAAGAACACGTTATAACATGATTTTGCACAGAAATTATTCAACAAATTTTCACATACAGCTGCTCTTTCTCCGGGTCCATTTTTATATCTATTTTAACTTAACATATTTTCCTTTAGTACCTTCAATTCCCGCGTATAGTGCGCAGTATATTTTTTGTTCCTCACACACTGTGAAACTCAATATGTCCGTGTATGGTGCGCAGTATATTTTTTGTCCTCACACACTGTGAAACTCAATATGTCCGTGTATGGTGCGCAGTATATTTTTTGTCCTCACACACTGTGAAACTCAATATGTCCGTTGGAATAGACTTACTATTCTTATTTTCAAAGAATATTTTCGAGTCTATTCGTAAAATATTGCGAACGCTTGAGAGCGCTTTGCTTTAATATTGTAGCAGACGAAACATGGAAAATAATAAACAATATTTGTCTGATTCAATAACAAATTCTTGTTGGTTTTATAACAATTAAAGTCGCCTGAAAAGACAAAAAGCGGAAGTAGCAGTTCTGATGTATTTAGCTTAAGGCAATCGATAATTTATAGCTAAGCGATATTTTTATATATCATGGTTTATTACCATACAATTCAGGGTTTGATCCCACACTTGACGCAGTGCAAATAACCCAAGAGAGAGCTTTGTGCTAAATCAAATAAACAAATACTACTGTGATATAGAGTTCAGTTATACTTCAAGTCATTATTACCTATTTGTTCCTCAAGATCTCTCCCCCTTTTGCACATGTAGCGTGCACATAAACTTAAACATTTTAACCTCACAATGAACATATATAAATACTTCAAACTTTTACTCACTTTTGAAATATGTTTACTTTACAATAAAGTTAACCCTTTTGATCTATTGTACCTGAATAATTAAACCTTCTCCTCAACTTTAGGATATTTTAAGCCCAAGGTAAACTTTTCGACTAAACTGTGGGTGTCTGTATGGTTTAAGCAACTTGAGAATGTTCTTTGTGTTGTTCAAAGTGTTTCTTTGTATTTTTATTAATATGAACCATTCATAAGTAGTTGTTTTTTAGACAAATTTTATGCATCAGGGTTACGCCACTGTTTCAGAGGTCCGACTAGCGATGCGCTGCTTGAAAGAGCTGAAAACTATTGCTTTGTGCTTCTTCCTATCTCTAAGACATTTGCAGTTTACGAGAAAGCCGCCTATCCATTTCGATCTCAACTTAAACAAATTCAATCACTTAAAATAAAGGTAACAAAGTTTATAATAACTTGTGGCATTTACACTTGAAAAAACTGTTCATCTATTGGGCACAGCGAGCCAAGTTACCCCAGATCTTGCCACACTCACATGGAATCACCTTTACAATTTGTTCGTGAATATTTCATTCCAAGTTCACCAATATAT